CACACACACACACACACACACACACACACACACACACACACACACACACACACACACACACACACACACACAAGTACAGTAAAACTGACTAAAGCATGTCTCAAACTTAAGGCCTGTGGGCTAAATGTGGCCTGCAATAGCATTTTATGTGGCCTGCGAGAGCTTTGAAGATGTACTGTATAAATGTCCTAAAATAGCTGCTTTAAATCCAACAGTAAACATAAACTACATCTCTAATAATGCATATTGATTGTTTTACCCGTGAAATTATGGCATCCCACCAGTAGGTGAAGCTGCACAGGGTTCAAAAGTAGCTGACTGATGGCAAAATTTGCTGCGTAAAAATATCTGCTTCATTGCATTTCACCAGGTAATTTTGCTGCTGCCCAGTTATACTGGGAAGTGGGAATTTCCTACTACAACTGTCCCTTTGAGGGTCACCATTATGCTCATGTGACCCTCTGTAAAAATGAGTGTGATTATAAAATTATTTTAGTTTGACAAAGACAGGCAGGTATTTGTATTTAATGGATAGTCAGACTCACCTTACTGGGTGTATTGTCCTTGTCCTCGGCCTCTGATCCTGTCAGCAGTATGAGACTCTGGCTCTTGGCATCTCTCAGTCTCTTGGTCATCCTCTGTCTTTTCTCCCCATATGGAGTCCCTCGGGACTGCATCTCCTGCTCAGTTAGAGAGGAAACTACTTCAGGACTGAGTCTGTGACCTGGCAAAACAGGAACGTCTGCATCTTGGAGTTTGGGTTGGAAAGGCGAGGCCAGGTCAGGGCTGGTGGTGATGGTGAAGGAAATCTCAAGGGGTGTAGTTTCCCCCACTTTGCCTGCTAGATGGTTGCCGGCGTTGTCCGTTCCTTCTCTGGCAGTGGCATCGTTACAAACGTTAGCCTCTTCCTCTGACCCACCCACCCTCTCCCTTTTTCTCTCCCTTTCTTTGGTGTCACGGAGGGGTCGAATGAGATCAACAATGGAGGTCTTTTTGACCTTGACCCACTCTCCTCCTTCCTCTCCACCTCCCACCTTGGCGGCTCGACCGGCTCGAGCCCTCTTGAAGGCGAAGAAATCACCAAACTTTTTCTTTATATTTTTGGAGGGGTTCGTGGTCGTGGTGGAGTCGACACAACTGCAGACGGTGTTAGTAGAAGTTGCACAAAGGGGTGAAACATTGGGAGATGGACATGGCATTTCAGGTGAAATACAAGGAGGGGTGACAGTGGTGGTGGTGGTGGTGGAGGGAGTGAAGATGTCAGATGAAGAGGGGAAGGAGGTGGTGGTTGAGGGGGTAGAGCTTGGTTCAGAGGGAGTGGCTTGGACAGGGTTTGACTCCTCCCACCAGCTTTTTCTGCAGCAGGGAGACAGCAGAAAGAGCAACAGACAGAGAGAGATACTCAGTACTACAACTACTGGATCAAAACCCGGGTCACATGCTTTGCTCTGGTAGACAAAATGAAAGTCATGCAAACAGCACACTGAGCAAAAACATCTCTCAGGTGGTGGTTTTGTGTCTGTTGTGTAATAATAAGTCTGTCAGTCCTCTTAAAAATGTGACCAAAACTGGATTATTATGGACCACATTTGGATTATTTACTTTTCTGTCTGGCATCAAATTTTCATCTGACAAGTGAGCTAATGTCAATCAGGCTTTAAGACATTAATATAGTTTTATTTCATATGTGAATGGATATACACAAAATTGATAACATAATCCCATTTTACTCTTGTATATCTGCCCTCTGTTTTATGTTGTTGCCTCCTGAGACCCAAGTTTTTGTTTGATGGGCATTTTTATTCCTCCAAGATACTGTACATGGGATTAGAGGGACCTAATACTGTATATAAAATAACTAGACTCTGTCATGATACAGGGAGTGGTTTTTGCAAAAAACAGTGTCCTCATATGAGGACACTGGGTCTAGAAATGTCACGATTGTTGAGGAATACCTGAACCATTACCATGCCAAATTTCAGGATAGCCTTTCTAGGGGAACAATTTTTCTGGTTATTTTGGCAATACAGCAGCCAGATGTTGACCAGAGCAAGAGCAGTGAAGTATATTATCATCATTATCATTGATGACTTTCAGATTGCTCCTCAGTCTGAAGAACAAATTACGTGACATGACGGCAGGAAATTGCAAATCATTTGCCTAGAACATACCCGATATAATTATTTGGTGGAACAAATGTAACACTAATAATAACTATTTACATTTGTGAACCGTTCTAAATATTGCAAGGTTTATTTTACCACATGGTACAATCAATAACAAAATTATAGTCCCAATGTCCACAAATGAGCACTGTTTCTTTACCAACATTGTACATTTTGATAAGTTTTGATATGTTATGAAGCTAAAGATGTAACTGTGCATTTGTTTAAAGCATCAAATATGAATGAAATTTTTACCTTGCATATTTTTCTGAGAAGAGTTGCTGTAGAAGCTTTTTACAGAGAGGCAAAAATGCAGTGTCCTCATATGAGGATGCTGGGTCTCAGGAGGGTATGAGATGATCTTGCACTGATTCCAGATTATTGGACATGAGCGTTTTCTCTTTTGGCTTTGTCAGCCTTGCTACATGAAGTGACAAAGATGGTTTAGTTTTACAACAGACGCCAATTGGAAACGTCAGTCCCAGGAAGCAAAAAAGGAAACCATATTGAAGTTGATAAATGGCTGAAAAAACTTAACATCACATTTAGTCTTTATAAAGCTGATATTTTAACATAAGTAGTGTCATCTCCAACAAATCCATGTGCAATTGTTCTATTGGTCATGATGATCATAGCAACTTTGAAATGTCATATTAAGTGAATATAAAGGTCTCCCCCTTGTTAAAGTTACAGGATTTTGTGTTAAAAAACAACATGTTGAGAAATCAATGGTTTGGGCCTAAATCACAGCTTCTAACCAGGGATGGAGACTTTTTATATCCACTGTATACCTCAGATATGCCACAATAAAAATGATGTAGCAGTGATGCAACAAAAACATCACAAAATCCCATAGTAGCACTGTTACAGGATTGTATTGGTTTTGTGTGTGATAGTTGTGTCATTGCTTTTCTTTTTATCTGTCATCACAGCTGAGCATCATATCCTTTGTGTTTATGGCAGATGTACCACACACATACTGTATGTCGTTCACAGCATCATGTTGCTGCTGATGCAAACATACAGGGTAGTTGGAGTATATGTTGCATTGTCAAAGCACCAACATGTACACAGCATTTATTCTGGTACAAGTTGTGTACAGATCATGTTTTCTACATTAATTCCACAAAAATGAACCTGAAAACAGATATTTGTGTTTTTGTTGTTGGATTGGTTTGGACTTTAATGAAAATGAGGAGAACATAAAACATACAAACAGACTAAAGAGTCCTGCATACTTCATTCAAAACCTCAAAATCGGCTCTCAATGACGTAGTTATGTGAAAAAAATCAGGTTATTACGCTCTTGTAGCTTTATTCGCCTCTTCTCGACATAAGGCTGTTTTCTCACAGGAATACATGCTTGGTCCTCATTGATTGCTCAGATGTTTGTGGGCGTGGTTGTTTATGCAAAAAAAGTTTGGAAAGACATGGGCTACATTCATGCTTCAGGCAAATCCGACCCAAATCCGATTTTTTTGTTGCATCTGACTCATATCCGATTTTTTTATGACAGTCTGAACGAGACAAATCCGATTTTTTTATGACAGTCTGAACGAGACAAATCCGATTTTTTCAAATCCGACCCAGGCCGTTTCAGTATGTGGTTTTAAATCGGATACATATCTGATGTTTTCAAAGTGACTGCAGTGTGAACGCTCATGTCTCATTCCATCTAACTTTTTCATCAGTGAGGAGGGGGTGAAGGATCGATAAGACACTAACCTCAAGTCTTGCTGTTTAAATCTGTAGCTCCGTGTGTTTACAGCTCCAAAACACAAGTCCAGTTGCTTCATATTTTTACTTTTCATTTTCCACGTAGATAGTATGATAATACTGATGTCCAGCCTGAGTCGTGGAGAGTATCGATCCTAAAGTTCGATACTCGGTCGATACTTCCAGCTCGTAGTTTCGTTCAAAAAAAAAAAAAAAACTTCACTGGAGCATCCCGGTCAGAGGCAGGTTCAGATATAAACACTGAACTAAAGAAGCAGGTCAGATAATTATTTAATCGGCTCTGATTAAACAACAACTTCCGATTCGATGTGCAAAATGTAGCATCCATGCTAGCTCTGTAAACAAACAAGCCGGCTGATGAGACGTCACGTCTTTTACTGCGCATGCGTGTCACATCTGTGCTGTGTAGCGTTCACACAGGGGTCTGATACAGGTCACATTTAAAATGTAATGTGAACGTTCACACAAAAAGATCGGATTTTTTCAAAAAATCGGAACTGAGCATTAAGACCTGCAGTGTGAACGTAGCCATGGTGTCATTTTGCTTCATGCACTCCGCTTTCAGAAGTTGGCTGTTGGGCGTGCAAATAGCATGGATAATTTTGAAGAGCAGCTGGAAAGTACCACCATCTGTAGGACTTTTTCAGACACTTATAAAATTAGTGAAATGGCTAAAACCTTCTGGTTAGATAGAGAGAGCACAGACACTGTGCACAAAGGAGCCCATCTGCTGAAAAGTGTGGCACTCTATCTGTGACAGATTTATGGACAAGCAGTTTAAACTGGAGTGGAGACTCTGACAAGAAGAAACCTGTGCTGTGACGTGTACTAAAACAGGAGGGGTTTCCTAGGATCTCCGCACTGTTTGCCACGTGAATTATGAAAGGTGTGTGCGAAAACAAACTTCTCACAACCACGTGACTGCGAGCCGATTGGCTTCAAATGGAGTATGAAGAGCCCTTAAGATCTGCTAAAGTAGAAGAACAGAGAGCGGTCAGCAAGAAGAACAACCAGAAGATGGTGGGTGAGACCATAGATGCAACAAAACACCAACTCTACGACAACATAGCATCATGCTAACACCACAAGTTTACCACCCTTCAGCCCAACACATACATACAAAAGACGTGGTTTAAACTCATCATAAACATTACATGAATATAACATACATCACAGGATTGATTTTTTCCCAAATTACGCTTCATTTCCTCGTATTGTGATACAGAAAATTTAAAACATACCAACAAATGTGTCAAAAATACAAAGTGTGGCAGTAGCCAGCCTTCTCTATGTTTTATTAAAGGTTTGAACTTCTGTCTCAGAGTGTTGTGTATATTATAACAAATAAATCACATACAAGTTTCATATGTAGGATACTAATCTTGATTTTGAGATTTATTTCAACAGTTTTAGGGACACATTAAGACCATCACCTCCAAATCTGTTTCAATTACGGTAAATTAAAGTTTTTAGAAATATGAAGTTTGTTTACCCGATCCATTTTAACTCCAGATTACAGAGCCACCACATTTCATTCAAAATCACAAAATTGGCCAATTTTTTTTCCACAATTATTTGTCGATCAGTGCAGTAAAATGTCTGAACAACATGGGAAAAGAACTTAATTCAGACATGAAATGCATTTTTGTGGTGCAACGGTGAAAAAATTAACAGAAAGTGAAACAAGGCCAACACATTCAACAAGCTGCCACAAAGAATTTTGATTAAAACATAAAATCAGGGATATTTAGAGGTTGAGAATTTTGTTTTTGAAAATGCAAAACAGAAATTGACAACAAAAAAGCATGTTTCAAACATAAGAAGCACATTGATTCCAACAAACATTAGAGCAAAAGAACATAGCAAAGATTTAGTTTGAACAGTGAGTGAAGAAGAAAAACAAAAGAAACCAGTCAGCAGGAAGCAGCGTGGGAACATGTTCATGAATCAGCTGAGATGTGACAAATGTTCTATCAAATGTTGTCAGAGCTGTTCTTGTGTCCTACAGACCTGAGACCAGCTCTGAGCCCAGATTTGAGCATTTAATTACTATCTTACTTTTATTGCAAAGTTGAAATTCTGTGAACATTTAATGTTTGTGTGTGTGCATGTATTTTGAAGATCAACTCACGGTGCATAGTCAGGGATGATTTTTTTGGTAAAGAATTCTTCTACACCTTCATCTACTCTGCCCATTGTCTCGATTGCTTCATTTTTTTCTTCCAACACTGTCTCCTGTTTGAAACACAATCACATATAAAAATAATTAGTACACTTTGGATGGCATTAGCATGATGGTTATAACTATAAAGGTCAAAGGGGAAAAATGCTCAAATGGTTTGAGGGGACAGAAAAACTATAAATGAAATAACAGACAGCAAAAAAGTCCAACCTCCTTAAACTCCAGGGTTTTATTCACAGGGACAAAATAAAAACAAATGCACCACCAGGCAGGGCAATTTTATGGAAAAGCATTCCATCCATCCATCCATCTATCCATCCATCTATCCATCCATCCATCCATCTTCTTCCTCTTATCCGGGGTCAGGTCTTGGGGGCAGCAGCCTAAGCAGAGAGACCCAGACTTCCTTCTCTCCAGCTACTTGGACCAGCTCCTCTGGGGGAATCCCAAGGTGTTCCCAGGCCAGCTGAGAAAACATAGTCCCTCCAGTGTGTCCTGGGTCTTCCTCTGGACCTCCTCCCAGTGRGAYGTGCCCAGAACACCTCACCAGGGAGGCATCCAGGAGGCATCCTAACCAGATGCCCGAGCCACCTCAACTGGCTCCTCTCGACATGGAGGAGCAGCGGCTCTATTATGAGTCCCTCACAGATGACCAAGCTTCTCGCCCTATTCACACCCAAAGCTCGTGACCATAGATGAGGGTAGGAACGTAGACCAACTGGAAAATCGAGAGCTTCACCTTCTGGCTCAGCTCTTTCTTCACCACGACAGACCGGTACAGAACCCGTATCACTGCAGACGCAGTATCAATCCGCCTGTCGACCACTCCATTCTTCCTTCATTCTTGAACAAGACCCCGAAATACTTGAACTCCTCCACTTGGGGCAGGACTTCTTCCCCAACCTGGAGGAGGCACTTTACCCTTTTCCGGCTCAAGACCATGGTCTCAAATTTGGAGGCACTGATCCTCAACCCGGCTGCTTCTTACTCGGCTGTGAACCGCTCCAGTGAGAGCTGGAGATCAGGATCTGATGAAGCCAACAGGACCACATCATCCACATAAAGTATAGATGTGGTCCTAAGGTCACCAAAACAGATCCCCTCAACACCTTGGCTGCGGTTAGAAATTCTGTCCATTAAAGTTATGAACACAATTGGTGACAAAGGGTAACCTTGGTGGAGTCCAACTCTCACCGGAAACGAGTCTGACTTACTACAGGCAATGCAGACCAAACTCTAAAGCCGGGTTCACGCTGAACGCATTTTGAGCAGCCAAAATGTGCCTGGCGCCTTAAGTTGGACGCTTGTCAGTAATGTCAGTGAAGAAATTTATAGTTATTAGAGGTTAGTACTGATGTTAAAAGCACAACATTATATTCATAGGTTTTCCTTTTTGTAATGTTGACAGTGATTAATCTATCATGGTTTGATTGATAATAGATTGGTTACAGGTCCGAATTATATAACAACACATAATCAACCGTTGTGATGACATTAGATGATAATTTTGTCTGAATGCCTGTGATTCAGCCGTAGGTCAGTAGGGGGCGAACGCAGGCATTGAAGAACATGTATAAATTGATGAACTTCCTGGTTTTTCGCCAGTGTGGTTTCCTGTCAGCTTCGGTGACAATAAACCTCACTGAGTTCCAGAATTCTGGTGTTGTATGGTTTGATTCCTTCTACAAATCATTTTATTTAACAATGGTGGTTTTAATATTGACCTCAGTTTATTGAATACGAATTTTTCTTACATCAGTACAGACAGAACGTGACTAGACGCGTGTCTGAAGAGGGAGAAGTGTCTTGTTTTTTTCCGGTCTTTCTTTAATGGCAGATGAAATAAAGATGAAATAAAGATTAAATAAAGAAAATGGCTTTGCTTTGAGCAAGCAAACGTTGTGCTCATCAGATAATTAATTCACCAGATAATTTAGAGGTGGTCTGTTCGCTGAGTTTCACCACTCCAGGAGCTGCGTGCTGACAAACTATTTTTTTGTCCTGAGCACACCGTGGTCAGTTTAACGAGTTGCTGACCCACATCGGTGCTGACATATCCTGCCAAAACACCAATTACAGACAGTTGATTTCAGCTAAAGACCTCCTGTCCATCTGTTTCGGGTTAGTGGGAAACATTCAGGAAACGTTACGTGGAAAAATTAGCCTTTCTGATTGGTTGACGTGGTGCGTTGAGCAGCAAAAGTTCAATTTTTTTAACTTGAGCGTCAGCTGCTTTGGATGTGCCGCATGCACAGAAAATGCACTACCACTACCTGGTCAGACACGTCAAGTTGTGCTGCGCTGCCCCTAGATGTGCATCCACCATAGACTTTGCATGTAAATTGGCTGCTTCGGTTAGTCAAAATGCGTTTGGTGTGAACCCGGCTTTACACCAATTTTACAGGGATCTAACAGCCCATATCAAAGGCTTGGTACCCCATTGGTACCCCATACTCCCGGAGTACCCCCCACAGGACTCCCGAGGGACATGGTCAAATGCCTTCTCCAAGTCCACAAAACACATGTAGACTAGTTGAGCGAACTCCCATGCACCCTCCAGGACATTGCTGAGGGTGTAGAGATGGTCCAGTGTTCCATGAGTCATGACCAGGATGAAAACAGGGCTACCTGTTGAGGCATCATCGTGCCGTGATCTTCAGCTCTCACTGGAGCGGTTCACAGCTGGGATGAGGATCAACTCCTCCAAATCTGAGTCCATGGTCCTCAGTCAGAAAAGGGTGGATTATTCTCTCCAGGTTGGGGGTGAAGTTCTGCCTSAATTGGAGGAGTTCAAATATCTTGTGGTTTTGTTCACAAGTGAGGGAAGAATGGAGCATGAGATTGATAGAGAGATTGGTGCAGCTTCTGCAGTGTTGCAGACTATTTGCCTGTCTGTTCTGTTACAGGTGGTCAAATGAGTTTTCTCCACAGGTAGCTGGTATGTCTTAGAGATAGGGTGAATGTACTCTGGGATAGACTCAGAGTAGATCTGCTGCTCCTCCACATCGAGGAGCCAGTAGAGGTGGTTTATCTGGTAAGGATGCTTCCTGGAGGTGCTTCAGGCATGTCCAACTGGGAGGAGACCCTGAGGTAGACCCAGGACATGCTGGAGAGACTATCTTTCGGCAGGCCTGGGAACACCTTGGAATTCCCCCTGAAGATCTGCAAGAGGTGGCTGGGGAAAGAGAGGTCTGGGCCCCTCTGCTCAAGCTGCTGCTCCCAAGACTCAACTCAGAATAAGTGGAAGATAATGGATGGAAAACATTGGACTCCTGGCTACGGACATACATTTACACACACACTTTCATGCAACATTCAATTTCATTTATCCAAATGCCTACGCAACCCTTTTTTGTGCATACGCACTGAATATGTGTGAGGCCCTCTGGGTGTTTCCAAATTAACGTTAGTAGAAAAAATTGTAAACTTGAAAAAGTTATCTGACAAAATGCTCTCTCTCAGTATTTGAACATTTAACAAATCTAAATACAGCTGAGCTGCCCCTGCTGCCCAACTCAGAATGGATGGATGATGGATGGGTGATGGATCGTGTATGGATGGATGCACGGATGGATGCATGAATGGATGGATGCATATATGGTTGCATGGATGGATGGATGGATGGATGGATGGATGGATGGATGGATGGATGGATGGATGGATGGAGATTAATTTCACTCCCCTCCCACCTGAGGGTCATTTGGGTCTTTGTTAGTCTGGCTCACAGTATTATACTTGGGTCACATGCACAAATGTGTGAATCAGAGGGAAGATGATTGGGTATCAGGCTTAATGCTCTGCTGTAAGTTTTAGAATGATGAAATCAGAGACCTCCTCTCTTTTTCACTCTTTTGATGTTCCTAAACCATTTGTCTTCTCAAATCTGTCGTTTTGATGCAGAAGAGTGCTTTGAATCTTCATGAATTCATCACCAGAAAGATATTTTATGTTTCTAAAAAATAAAATGTGAATTGAGAAGGAGGGCTACATGGGTAGGTTCCTTTCTTTCTTTTTTTCATTCAAAAATTAATTTAAAAAAGACAAGACTTTAAGTTGTGATTTTTGAGTTTGTATTGTTCTTGTCAAAGTCAGCTATGAAATAAGAAACAAGAAGGTGATTCCCTCAGTCCAATACTGCAGTTTTTTTCAATAAACAGCACAATAATTCTGTAATTCTGTTATGGCATTTAGTTTTGCCATGCAAACTGTCCCCAGTTTCTGTCTCTTTGTGTATTTTGGTCAATGACTGACTACATTTGATGCTGTTTATGTGATGACAATGCAGCTCGGAAATAACAGATGTAATCTTGGTTTATTTATCTAGTCAAGCTAAAAGTAAACACAAAGAAAGCTTACAATAAAGCTAATTAATATTTTTACATTTTGATGTTAGCACAAGAACTGGCCCCTAAAATCACAAGTTATAAGAAGAAAATAAAGACTTGTGATTTGTACTGAAACAAACTGTGTAGAAGAAAAGTTATGACCCAGCTTTTAAAGTTTTAGTAAAGAAGAGTCAAAAATAATAATGCTATAATAATTCTAGCATCACAAAGGAATGTTTTCCTGCTTCTAAAGGATTTTTTATTTTATTTTCCAGAGAACATACTGTTTTGTTTATGTCAGTGCCAACTCCCTACTGCCACCTGTCTTTTTCTGCTGGATGCCAACTTCCTTTTTTAATCACACGGTTGGATCTCCAGCGCTCTTCATTCTCACACATACAACCCTAAACCTACATTCATGCAACAGATCAATAAATCTGTAACATCACTTATAAAGTTTACACAAAACAGCTAAAACTCTGATATCTCAACACAGGATCTCAGTTTCAAACTGGTGTAAAAGCCTGCTGGCGATATGCATTTCTTAAAGGGATCCCCGATTAGTTGTAACATTATCCATCCATCCATCCATCCATCCATTTTCTTCCGCCTATCCGGGGTCGGGTCGCGGGGGCAGCAGCTTCAGAAGGGAGGCACAGACCTCCCTCTCCCCAGCCACTTCTTCCAGCTCCTCCGGGGGAACCCCAAGGCGTTCCCAGCCAGACAAA